ATCAAATGCCATTTTCACGTAAACATTGCAAATTTTGCATATTTACAATGGGATATGATAAGCAGTGAAATATTGAGCTTGTGAGAAATGGATAAAACAATCAATCAGCAAAGGGGAAAATTGGGGTCAATCAACAAAGGGGAAAAATTGGGGCTAAGAAGATCGTAACCAAAACCTATGCAGTCGTAAGGGGTAATTAAGTAATTCAATAATAAATAAAACAAGCTGAATTTATAATTTCACAACAATCCCAATCCAGTAAGTAACCCTAAGATACTAAATCGAATCGAATCGAATCGGAAAATGAAAGCAACCCACCTGAAGGTACAACGAAGAGCAGCAGCGATCGGAGCTCCGAATTGCTAGAGGGCTTTGAAAAAGCACAACCAGTATGCGAGACGGCGACGACGACGATCGGCGATTGCGAGTAGTAGAGAGAGAAGGTCGGTTCTCACCGTCCCCAAATTTATCTACACACGTGCGAATTGACACGAAGCACAAAAAGGGGTCGAAATCGAAGACGAAGAAAGAGGAAGAAGATGAAGACAGCGAGGGTCCGCGAGAGAAGTCGAATTTTTTCGGGCTTGGGTTTTGGGGCTCAAATCTCAATCGCTCAATTTGGGATTAATTTGCTGCCAAATTATAATTGAAATTTGATTTTTTATTTATTTATTTGTTTATGAGTTTAATTGCGAAATGGTTTTTTTTTTTTTTTTTTTTTGTGTGGTTATTTTATTTACTACGCGCAGTGAGAAGTAAGCACCCAAAAAAAATAAATTAATGAAACCAACAGGGACGACAAGAGACCGCAGATAGATAAAGATAAAGAGAGAGAAGATGGGAGTTTCCAAGTCCACACTCCTCCACACCATTAAACCAAGCACGCAAATTTACAGAAATACCCCTGATTTTATCCACATTTTCACAAATGATATATTATCCTTTCTTTTTCTTTTTTCTGCTCCATCACCAAATTTTTCATAGGGGTTTGGGTTTTTTTTTCTCTACTAGAAAACTATAAACTAGCAGTTTGGAGTTCAAGTAGCTAATAGTATTCATCCATATGTACAAGGTCATGTGTGTTTTTTATAATCGAAAATCAAAATTGTCAACAATACAACAAAATCCACATAAATAACTAAAAGCATCCATATCTGCAAAATTAAGCTTTATCTCAAGCAACGCGCACACATAATCCAAAACAACCAAAATCCTAAAACAACTCATAATACTAATTACTAATCATGAGAACTAATTGCACCATATGAAGTAATGCCAACATTAAACTCACCGCATCTAACCAATAAATTAACGTGGAACATGGGTTGGATTAGCAGAAAATAAGGTCTCCAACAATCCAACTTTGCATAACATCGAATAAAGATCTTTATCTGACGAAGATGGCCAAAAAAACTCAAGTAGATAGCAGTAAAACCTTCTAAAAGCGTGGTAACACTAGATTTAGATCAAATGAAAAATCTTAGTGGGGGCATTTTGAGAGAATGATTTATTATAAGAAAGAGCATAAAAATGGTAATGAAGTACTCAAATTTGAGCTTGGCTCAAGGAAAATCACTACAAGAAACCAACTCAACAGGAAAAGAAAAATTGAGGAAAAAAATGATAAGAAAATGGAAGGAGGTCTCCTCCTCGTACGCAGCTAGGGTTCTTAGCTTGGTTTAATTATGTCGCCTTTTATTATGTCACTCAGGATTTTGTGTTCAATTCCCCTATCTCCCACTTGTTTCTAGAAAAGGAAAGTATATAATCATATATGTGTATGGTGTGACAAAAATAGAATGTTGATTCCACCCACACGTCATATTTACACATCCATTTTATATTTTCACTCAACGTCCATATTTAAGAAATAATGATCCTCTATGCCCACCCTTAAATATCCCAAGAATACCCCTAGGGATGGCAACGGGTCGGGTAAGTGTCGGGTATGACAATAACATCCCCGTCCCCACTCTCTATTATTGCCCCCGTACCCGAACCCATCTCCATTTAATAGATTTCGGGGAACCTTGTCCTCGTCCCCGTCGAGGGACTATCCCTTATACTTGCCCCGAAGCCCCTATTTTTTTTCCATAAAAAATATTTATCATATATTTTAACATTCAGTTTCATATTAAATTATCATTCAACACATTCAAATTAACTATAAAGTTCAACTCAACTATTCAAAATCACATCAATATGAAAATCCAGAGAAGATTAGGAAAAATTAGGAGAGGGAGGTTAACTTAGGGTTAAACATAAATATTATAATTATATATATATTTATTTAAATATAAACATATATATTTTCGGGTTGGGTTCGGGGATGGGGACGTCTATACCATCCCCTCCCCATACCCGTCAGGGATTTTTCAAATTCAGGGATCCCCGTACCCAATACCCGTTTGGCCTCGAAATCTCCCCCTGTTAGAGTCGGGGACTTGATGGGGACCCACCCCCACGGAGATTTTTGCCATCCCTAAATACCCCTAATATATTTAAAACCATTGTACATATAGAAAAAGGCTTCCTCCATATAAATACATCAATTTACTAATAAATTGTTACTATTTAAGACCAAAACACTTTAACACAAATTGGGGTTTTTAGAACTCTTGTTAGAACTCTAGTGGTAAATAGGAAGTAGTATACCATTCACTCTTAGCAATATTTTGATTCTCGCATTTCTTCAATTTTGTGTAAAAACAAAAAGCAAATTACATATTATTTGTCTTGTAATAATACATGAAATCTTTAACAAGCTAACTTGTAAAATGTTTGTATGCTTTGAATGGTCTATTTTCATCCACAAGCGTATTTTGCTCATTACTTTAATCCAATGTGTATCATCATTAACCTTTTTAATACTTGACATGTGTTCATAGTCATCACCATAGTTCCACAAATACAAAGCAAAGAATTAACTATGGTTATATTAATATATACATGTCAAGTATTGAGAAGGGTGATGATGATACATATTGGGCCAAAGTGGTGAGCAAAAATATAAACAACAATTGTTTAACTCTTGCACTCCTTATTCTTGTAAATGAAATAAATAGCTGACAAAACAATTATTCGTCACAGTTGTCAATCATAAAATATCTTTTAATCTAAGTTTTAGTCGGAACTCTATGAGAATCTAGCAATGAATGCAACTTTGGATTATTTTCTCATTTGTAATAAACTATTTGATAGAATTATGCTTCTTAGAACATCTTCAAGAGATATGTTAAATACAAATTTTTTTTTTTGTGATAAAAATGCCATAGAATTTTATAAAATCAATAAGAATAAAGAGTACAAAGGACACATACTCTAAAGGGAGCCATCCCAATTACAATATGGCAACCATGGGTAAAACTTCCCCAGTGACATGACCCAGTTGAAAAGCTGAAACGATTTGTAGAGAATCACACTTGACAATAATTTTTCTAAAACCCCTTTCAACCGCCATAATTTCCTTAAATCGAGTCCAATGACTTCAAAGTAAAAAACTAGCCGCTAACCGGCATGACTCTCTTAAAGAGACTAAGAACACCAAACAAACTCAACTAAGTTTCTGGAATCATGAGAGAAAAAAACACCGAAAACTCAAAGTTTTTAGACTTTATTGAACAAACTAAATAAAAATAAAAAACTAAAACAACATCAGCAAAAGGAAAACAAATCGCCGATAATCTTCCTTCGGGGCATGACATAGAGAGCACCACCTAGTTACTCCAGGGCCTCAAAACATCAATGAATAGTGGATCTATCATGACCAAGCCGTAACACCTCAAAGAGCAATCTCGCAAGATCTAGATCTGACAAAAAAAGAGTACATCGAAATAGGTCCACCAAAAATGGAAGAACACTAAAGATTTGATGGGAAGCTTTCTCTCTCGTTTTCTTTATCTCTTAGAGGCTAGGGTTTTTTTTTTGTTTTTTGTTTTTTTGTTTTTTTTGGTTAAATACAAAATGTTTGATTTGAATTTGACAACCTATGTAGCATTTTGACATTTGTAAAATTGTTAAGTCCGCATAAAATGTCAAATACCATATTACCTTGATTCTCATCCATAAGCTTGGAGATTTATGGAGATTCAAGGATACTGCTTGCCTCATTTCTGTAAATCACGGTTTAGCACATATGCAAAAATAATTCATCAAAAACACCAAAAGTAAAACTTCTGCATGGCACATTGCCATTGACAGGAATGTAGGAATTCCTATTTACAGGGGAGGAGGGAAGTATTTTCCGAGATTTAATTAATGAAAATGGTTGCTTGGATATGATTTTATTGTTGATCCCAGAAAATTCGTTCAGGCGAAGCAATAGCGGTGCCTCTCCCTCTAATCCTCAAGTATAAATTCGTTCTTCGCAGGGACGATGACTTTTGGCGAGCAAAACACGTTTCTGCCCTCGACCAAGCTTTCTAGGCCGGCATCAATTTCTTCGACTCTGCAGAAATGTATCCAGTGGTTTAGCGAGCCCAGACTCAGGGGAGAAGCAAGGAGCGTCGTTTTGGCCACCAAGGTTGTAAAGTAGCTCTGAGAGCATCAGATCATGCTAATAATGGTGTGCCAGCTTGGTTTTCACTTCTCATGTGTGAAAATTTGTTCCTCGTGTTATGCTGTGCTGAGTGATGAGTTATGGAATGTTTAACTGCAGCTTAAAGGCGATTGCAGACAGATTGCATTGATCTTTATCAGATTCATTGACCTTTGGGATTTTGCTTTCACATTACTCTAAATTTGCAGATTGACACGAATTTGACAATGGGTGTATGCAAATGCATGCTTGATGTAAATTTAAAGTTCATCAATATTTGCTTGCATTCATCCACCCAGCCTTGTCTTGCATTTTCCACTTTGTTCCTACACAATCCCTGTTAGTAAGACTTGGAACTGATTAATGACTGTTTTTGTAGCTCTGTCCCCACGCTTTTGGGGACTCTTACTATTGCTAATGGCGGTGTTTTGCCAAACATTCATCACTCTGTTGCCGAAGAAGATTGGTAAAGGGAAATGAGACATTGGATCTGCCTCTCAAGAATTTTAGAGTTGCTTTGTACATGGGGAAGAGCAGGGCAGATGAATACAATTTTAACAAGCATTAACAGAAGGAAAATACAATACATCAACCCTCCTTCCCTTCCATAAGTACCCTTGATCTCTAGTCAAAATTACAAGAATGGCAGGCTTCCATGGATACCCATATCCTGGCGTGAGAGAAGGTTAACACAACCACACAGTTTCCCCAGGAACCCCCCTCAATGTCTTCCAAATAGTTAATTGCACCTCTTTCCAGTGAGTTGTCTGCCACAACTGGAAGACGAAACACGAGAGGCAATAAAATCAATTGTATGTTGTAGGTCGAGGTTTAGGTGGTATATAAAAAGAATTCCCACAGTCCATTGGAGTATGCATCAAGGGGTTCCATCTATCAAATACCAATCGGCCTCCTCTGCCAATTCTTCCTCGAAATTTATAAGGTGGTGTCGGTACTCCATTTTTCGTTGAAGAATCTGATGGTGGAACAATGCCTGCAGCTGCCAACTTCTCTGGAACTAGAGGTCTTGTAAATAACAAAACTGGTTCAAGAGGATCCTGCATAAATCCCATCCAAGAGTTCAGATTCACTCATATATAATAACAAAAAAACAAAGAAGATCCTACATTCTAAATTAATTTTGCTAGAACTCCCTAACATTTGACACGGTAGCTTACTAGATATTGAATTCATGACAGTGACAAACTTCAGAAATCACTTATGGATATATCTCCCTAGAAGACAGAAGAAATAAGAAAGGAAGGGGGAATAATGGTAAATCCAGATAGGTAGTCCAATTCACAAGAAGACAATTGAAGTACCATTTTATGAAGCCACCCTTGTGGGGCATGCCGCCGCCTAAACTCTTGCTTCTGTACCATATTGGAGTCAGTTAAAGGCGGATTCTGTACTGCAGAAGGTCGTGTGCGGGGCCGACTGTTTGCAACATCATCTGAATCAACAAATTCATCCTCACTTGAACCAAATTTGCAAGATACAGGTGGAAATCCCGGAAGGGCCAAGCTATCTTCCAGGAGCTCAGTTTCATGCTGAAACCCAAAGGAACCAAAAAGGTCAACATGAATCAGCAACAGATTTTAAACCATTATGTATTACACGGCCCAGAAAATTTACCTACAACTGACCTGAAAATTACCTTTCCAATATCAACTTCATGATATATATGTATATGAAAAAGTTTACACAAGTACCATACATGTGATTTTAACTTAAGAGTGCTTCATACACAGATGATTCTGTGGACAGCATTATATACCTCATGGAAGGCATATCATATTTAGAGGTAAAATGAAATTAATTTTTTACTTTTCCTTCACAATTTCTTTTTACTTTTCTTTCACAGCAGCATAGGGTGCTCCAAATAGGAATAACAATCTCTATGCTACATACCCACAATACCAAACGCTGGTAGCAACCTCCCTGAAATAGGGGAGGTAAAAGGACAACAAAGAAAATAGAGAAACTTACAATTGAGCTGCCAGTTTTATCTAATTCATTTATAATAAATATAACAAACTTGTTCATACAACCTTGTGATATAGTTCATGCAGGAAGTAGATTTAGATGAAAGTCAAATGGTACAATGGGTTTGTCAAGGTCAATCTTAAACAGAAAGCTACAGCAGCATTGTTGTAGTTAAAGCAACCAAAGAGAATAATATACCCCATGCATACCTTGTACTTCATTTGGATTATTTGAAGACTAACTTCAATCTCCATGACTTCCCGCTTTTTCTCTTCTCTCTGCATACATTTGTACAAAAGCAATCAGTAGCATTGAGGAGAATTTCATCCCCAGATGAATATAATGCCACCCAAGGAAACTATAAACACTTCAATTGAAGCACCTTGATTAAAGCCTCCAGTATGGTCTTGGCTTGGTCCAGGTTGCGTCTGACCTGAGAATAGTCAATTCCAAAAGAAAAGCTTGTGATTATGATGGTCAAATATAAAATTGTGAAATAAAAACATTTCTAGAAAAAGAAAATTTGAAAGCAATACAAACCTGACGAAGCTTTTCAAATGACTGCACATTGTTTTCCCTTCTTTGCATCTAAAAGCAAGACAAGCAATAAAAACAAATTTACAAATATGTTTATAGAAAACCATTAACTAAAAGCTTCACCCAAGGAAAAATGGAAACACAAACACGGTTGTCACCTACCCTTCTTGTGTGCAGTCTGTGGGTTTTCTCCCTTGGCCTAAAGACATTGTATGGGTTGGTGTCATTAACCGGTGGAGGAGGCTGTACAAAAAATGTAGATGAGAACCAAGAAATCATGATGAAGAATAAAATGATCTGCGAGCACATAAAGGCAGTGACAATATAAGCACATAATCAAGTAATTAAACTAACCTGCAAACGACGCAAAATAGGCTTCTGCCATCGTTCACGCTGCCAAAAATAGGGGAAAAGAATACATATTCATGAAAAAATATATATATATATTTTTTTGGTCAAGTATGAAAAATTATTTTTAAAGAAAAACAATTAGCCTGAAACTCAATTGAGTATCATGCAAATCAGGGTAGTCTAGCTGCCTGAAATTGAGTAATCAAATTAGGTTCTAAAACTCTCAAGCTTGTATATATTACGCACCTTCTCTTTCCAATAATTATAAATAGATTGGATAACAGCATATCTGAGGGACTGAGGTTGGAGAGCCTACATCCAAAGGGAAAAAAAATTTCGATTTAGTAACTTCATAAAAGGATTCAACAAGACCAAAAACTAGAAAAATAAGCATCAAAATGCAAACATAATAGATCTCTTATGAACAGAGAAATATAACTTCTATCTTTAATAAAAGATGACCAGAAATTATCTTTTAGGATCTTCATAAACAGAGAGAATGGCAACCTTTTCTGTTTAGGAACATGAAAGTATGTACCTCAGTCTCATATAGTAAGACCTAACAAGAACCAAATTGACACAAATAAATGAATAGCACAACCATTGCGATACAGCTAATGAATGCAAAAAGGAACTATTAACAACTAGCATTGGCACTGGTCAGTTCATCTGGAAAAAGCAAAAAAAACGCACATCACCTCACTAGCAACATCATGTTGTAGAAGTACAGGGATTGGTGAAGCAAGTGTAGGAGTTATAACTCCTGCTCTTTCTCGCGCCTTATGATCCAAAACCTCCAACTTAAAAATAATACTCTCAAGCCTGCATGTATAAGCACACACCTGGATGATCAGCTTATCACCAACAGAAGTTGGAGAAAACAGATTAAAAGCATAAGACAGTTTCTTTTGGAAAGGGGTACGCGGCAAAATTCAAGCGTGAATGGTTGGTCGTCTACATATTCGAGAACATCAATTTTTTGAAATTGGATTTATCAACTTACAGCCTAAATGCATCAAATGAATTAGAATGAAGGACTTAAAGGGGCTAGTTCTACTGTCCTTAATTGCTTGCTAAAAACAACGGGTAAAATGATTACTTGTCAGGAGCAAGAATATTCTTTTCTTTGTTGAACTCGTAGAGCCAGTCCTCATCCTCATTGTCTAGGTCATACTCCACAAACTCTCCGAGCTCGGCCCGAGCTGCAAATGATGGAAACAAGGTGTCAGCAACAGAATATGAAGAAGAAAATGAAGGTAAGCAATGAGTTTGAAGTTAGAAAAACCTCCTCTTGCGCGAAGGTACGAATTGGGTTGGGCAAAAGTGCGAGAATAGTCGCGTTCATAAGTGTCAACAACAACAAACTGAGGAGTTGGTATTTCAGGAGCGAGTTTCTTGTTGGTGGGGGTTTGGGGCACCTCAGTTTCAATGGCGGCATCGGCGGCGAGACGCAGAAGCTGAGAATTGCGAGTAGAAGTTGGGGTGTCATCGTCTTCGAAGTCCTTAACAGACTTGACAATGGGGAGCTTTTTGTGAATATCAAGAGGGCGGGGTCTGAATGAAAGCCTACTCATTTCGGCTTCTGCTCATAGCTCTTCAATCCTTTTTGTTTTCCACACGAGACTAATAAACCAGCCTGTTGGGGTTCTTAGGGCTCAATTAGGGTTTGCTTCAGAAGGAATAGAACTACTTGTGATACTTGGACAGCGTATTGAATTGGGAATTAGGGTTCGGTTTTGGATGTTCAGGAATCAAGAACTCGGATCAATCAAGCCCTAAATGTTTCTTCTCCGAGAAACAGAGACAGAGAAAAGGGTTTTCGTGTTTCAGGCGTTGGAGACGAAGCAGTTCTGCAGAGACCGGCTTGGATTGGATTGGATTGGGTTCAAAATCTTTTGGAAAATTATTGGCCCACTTTTGAATTAAAACTCTTTGAAACTTCGGCCCAACACAGCTGGCAGATCTATTTACCCCTTATCTCAATATTTTTCGTTTCAAACTTTTTATTTAATACTTTGTAAATTTTTAAAGAGAACGAGAAGAGATTATGGCGCCTCTTTTACCAATTTCATAACCCTGCTTGGAGCTTAGAAGAGCAGAAACACTTATGCCAGTTTTTGACAGAAAAAAAAGTCAATTTTTTTAGTTGCTACTTCATAACCCACTTTTAAGTGTTCTTCAAGGAATCACTTAGATTTTTAAAAAAATTTAAAAAGTTGTTTCAATAAAAATGCTCATGAACAAAAGCGTTTCCTACCGAAACACTCCCGACTGGGCATATTTTAAATATAACAAAAAACTAGCATTTTAAGCTTCATCTGAGAAATGTTTTTATAGTGGTACAACATGATCTAACTTATACCAAGCCTCTCCTATTCTTTTGAGAGACTTACATGAAACCCGGTGTATATCCATGTGTATTTTCTCCTTATGTGTGTCACATGGGGTATATATACACCTGTTTTATGTAAGTTTTACCCCACTCTCTTTCCTTACCTATGCTCCTAATTTTCCAGTTAGAAACTACAATATAAGTAGAACCAAGGTCTAAAATATCGGTGATATCGGAAATATCGGTAGGCCAAAAACACGGAAATTTCGATGGAAATATCGGGATATTATCGATATCGATAAAAATTGAATAAAAACCACGGAAATTGTAAGAAAAACTTGGAAATTTTTATTAAAACTTTGCAGGATGTTTATTTAGTCAATTATCTATTAATTTATCATAAAAAATTGGAAAGAAATGCATTGCATGATGGATTTAATTAATTTAAGTTGATTACATAGCGAGCTGGCAAACACTGTGAGTGTAGAAAATATGTAGTAATTAATGAAAAAAGATTAAACACACCATAATCAAAAGTAGAAACTTGAAAAGGAATGGTCAAAAGAATTCAAAACAATTTGTTTCTTGCAAAAAAAATTCAAAACAAAA